AAACCCGCCATCCGCCGTCTGGCTCGTCGTGGTGGAGTCAAGCGTATCTCTGGACTCATCTACGAGGAGACCCGTGGTGTCCTCAAGGTCTTCCTGGAGAACGTCATCCGTGACGCCGTCACCTACACCGAGCACGCCAAGAGAAAGACCGTGACCGCCATGGATGTGGTGTATGCTCTGAAGAGACAGGGCCGCACTCTGTACGGATTCGGAGGTTAAACCTCAACTCAGCCCCACGTTAGACACAACGGCTCTTTTAAGAGCCACCCACTGAAACAATGAAGGAAACATTTACTCTGATTTATTCTGTTAATGATATACTCTGTTAATATTAATATTTAATGAATTTGGATGTGGTGTATGCTCTGAAGAGACAGGGCCGCACTCTGTACGGATTCGGAGGTTAAACCTCAACTCAGCCCCACGTTAGACACAACGGCTCTTTTAAGAGCCACCCACTGAAACAATGAAGGAAACATTTACTCTGATAATGTTAATATTAATGAATTTGAATATATATATAAATTGTTGTATCTTGATCAATTATATGGTAAGGGTCCTGTAAGTCACTTTGGATAAAAGTTGTATTTTATTTAATTATTTAACGAGACACTATTAAAAGGCTAACTGTACAATTAAAAAAATAAAATGCATTTTTATAAATTTATTTATTTATTTCAATCACTGATGAGGTCCTCCAATAAGATGGTGAAGAAACAGTAAGTAAACAGTGGTCTGTACAATCGACTCTCAAACGCGGAAGTCCCCGCCAACACAGAGAAACGGTTCAGCCAATCACAAGCGAGCAACGACACAGTCTAATTTACATAGAGCTGGTATATAAATACTCCCGTCTCTGCGTCGCTCGTATCACTCATTTGTGACAAACAAAATGCCTGATCTAGCAAAGTCTGCCCCCAAGAAGGGCTCCAAGAAAGCCGTGACCAAGACCGCCACCAAGACCGGCAAAAAGAAGAGGAAGACGAGGAAAGAGAGCTATGCCATCTACGTGTACAAGGTCCTGAAGCAGGTCCACCCCGACACCGGGATCTCCTCCAAGGCCATGAGCATCATGAACTCGTTCGTCAACGACGTGTTCGAACGCATCGCCTCTGAGGCTTCCCGCCTGGCCCATTACAACAAACGCTCCACCATCACCTCCAGGGAGATCCAGACCGCTGTTCGTCTGCTGCTGCCCGGTGAGCTGGCCAAGAACGCCGTGTCTGAGGGAACCAAGGCCGTCACCAAGTACACCAGCTCCAAGTAAACGGTCACCTGCTCCTTGAGTCTAAACCAACGGCTCTTTTAAGAGCCACTCACTCCGCTCAATGAGCAAATCCTCCGGCCTCTGGTCTATACATGTTAAATATGAATATTGAAAATATTAAATATGTTGATGATATTCCAGTTAAGTAATAGTTGAATATCTATGGCACCATAACATTTGACAAGATAACATTCCAATCCGTGTGTGCTATGTATTGCAATTAGAGTTTATGACGTCACTAAAACATAGTTAAACCTGGACTGAGTATTTCTCGATGGTCTAATGCTGAGTACAGGCTTTAATAAATACTACACGGAAAAAATGAGGCAGATTATTAATGTAATAACTAGAACTATGTTCAATGGTATTATATTAATGCAAAAATAACGATGTGGAACACTGACCTAACAGATGAAAGTGGGATATAGTGACCAAGCAGTTAAAAATATTCCATGTAATACTTCTTAGGTGACACGTACAACAATATACTATGAGAATTATGAGAAATAATGATTAACATTTTCAAGGTTGATTCTAATTTTAAAAAATGTCTTGGAAACTACACAAGCTGAACTCTGTCAATTACTGGCTCTGATGAGACAATCCGATTTTCATATATATTTAAAATAGCATTTATTAAAATTGTAATACTCTCCAATTATTCTATATTCAATCTCCATCAAGTGGTAAATTTTCCTCTCTACACTGTTTTACACGTTTTAAGTAGTTACTAATCTGACACAGTGTTGCTGCTGTCAATGACTTCACTAGATGTTGAATTATATCTCACTGTGGTAACGTTTATTAAATACCTTTTGATTCAAAATGTATACTTTTTTATCTCTAAGTAGACATTTGACAGTAATTATATTTAATAGTAGGTGATAGTGATTTCTAAGTGCAGTTGAACCGTCCTTCGACAGCTCCACCGTTACGTGATTCACCGTCATCTGTGTGTTTGCTGCCACCAGATCAGACTCACTTTTTATCATAATCATCATCTACAGCCTGACGATCTGGTTCAGAAATCATAGATGAAGGTGTTTAGTAGCAGGTCGGTGGGTTTAATCGGAGTTTCGCCACATTTTTATTAGTTTTATCGGACGGAGAAGAAGGAAAAGTGACGGAGCAGTGCGAATCTGCGCCTCGTTCATGTCGGTTTTCGAGGTTCCTGAGAAAAAACGCGGCGAGTGAATGACTTTTCAGGCTATCGTCGGGTGAACACAAACACTGTCGCTCTCATTTCAGTCTTTTCCTGGTTTTCTCCGACACTCTAAGACCGTTTTTCTTGTCATTTTCGGTGGAGAGAAAACACAAGTGTCCCGGTGAACAGAGCTCCTCGGAGGGGCCTGGACTGGGCTGAGTCTTTACGGTTCTCATGGTGGCTTTAAGTTCACTCTGTGCTGCGGGAAACTTCACAACTCACTCTGACTAATCCAGTCCCGAGTAGAAAACATGGCAGAAGAAGCTCCAGCACCCGCCGCCGCCGCCGCCGCTGCTCCGGCCAAAGCAGCCAAGAAGAAGACGGCACCCAAGTCCAAGAAGGCCGGGCGCAGCG